TGGAAATGCTCCGATGCATAGTTTAGTCCTGCACATCGGGCACGATACATCCATCTCTTTATCGTTGACAGCTAGCGTGTCGATCCAAGCCTGAAGGCATTGCTCGCCTATGTAATGGCCACAGATCATCTTCACAGCTGGCTCCACATCATCTCGTCCAATCTGATCGGAGAAGCTGCGTCCGCATATCTCACACTCTTCGAAACCAGCCTCTACTGCTTCGTCCGTGGCGCGTTCCGTGAAGCCTTGGACGTGCTTCATATCCCCCATAGTCATACCGATATCCATAATATTAGCCGAAGGTTCACCCAAAGATTTCCATTCGAGGATAGTCAGATGGCCGATATGCAAGAACAAGGCGGACCATTCCTTGGATGAGGGTAGACATATGAGCTCATGTTCACATGGGGCCAGCATCCACTTCTTGTCTTGTGGGAGAGTCAGACACTGCTTAGCTGGATCGTCTTGCCAAGTCCCCTGGCGTATGTAGCGTGGATAACCTCGGGCAGGGAATGTATCCAGGTTCCTCTCGGCCTTTTTCATCAGCCACAGTATGCGCGCGATCACAAATGTACGTCCGGTGCATTCCATATCGTGATCCGGAGGGGCTGGAATGTATGCAGTAGTATCGTAATCCGGTAGGGCAAATAGCTCCTTCCCCTCTTTGGCGTATCTGAGCTTACGCTCGAGGCTGTGAAGTTGTCGTAATGACTTTAGATATCTGTCGATGAGAGCTTTGTTCCACTTCTCTTGTAGGAAAAGGATTGAACGGGGCTCTGTTAGATCCATTAGGATTGTCGTCTTCAATTTATGAATGTGGACGTCGCAAATCTGGATCGCGTTGGTAAACTGGTCGAGTATCTTGACGACATCTTCATATACAGACTTCAGCTGTGGCTGTGTCATTCCCTCGATGTTTGTTCGTTCGAGAAGGCGCTCGACTCCTGTATGTATCTTCTTACACTCATCAAATAGATTGCTTTTTAGAACCCGCATAGATGCCTCACTTTCGTCTGCTGCTTTGAGGGACATTGCTGATTGTCCGTTCGTATGTACGGTTGAGGGTGGGTTTGGTGATCTGTGAGGAAGTCACTCCGAGGCACTGTTATTATACAGCAGATCTATCCCCAAGTAAATAGGCAGCAGTAGCAAACGATGGGGACTGAATCACTGTACCGTCTGTTCAATGACAATGTCAGCATTTTCCCAGTCGTCAGTCCTTCGAGGCGTAATTATACATTCACCTTACAGCAAACCACCCATATTTCAGCTGAACTTCACTCTCTTCGTCGCATGCTCCTTTGCAACCAACACCTCTTCCTCGAGGGTTTCACTTCAAACCAATCATCCCAGCTACATTGAGACTCACCAACGACGAAATGGCACACCAAAACGAATTAAAAGAAATTGAGCTCCAAGTCCCTGACCACTTCAAGGCCTGCGAAGCCCTCCTTATGCAGATCGACACCTTCCCCGAGGAATTCCTCAACGGTAAGTTGACCCCCGAAAACTTTCCTTCAGTTTGTCAGCGTAGCGCCAAGCTACTCGAAGATATGAAGGCTGCTCTGAGTGAAGCCAGGACCAAGGTCTCGGTGGAGAACAAGCATATGTGGGTAGAGCATTGGACTTGGATGCAGCTGTATGAGGAGGGCGTGGCGACTATGGAGCAAATCAACAACAAGCTACATGGTCCCGACAGGCGGGAGATGATATTGACGCAATTGATAGTTGTACGTGAGTCTGCAGACAGAACGACAGAGCTTCTAAAGCGCATGATGGCGGCGATGGATCAGAGGGAGAAGGAAGCTGCTTTGGCGCCGGTTCTGCGAGACGACAATTGATGTATGCTATTGCTTTATCAACTGAGCTCGTACTGGTAGTTGGCTAGATAGCGTGAAGTAGAGTTCTGACAAATCCAAAGTTCGGATCGTGACGATTGCGGAACCTTCATATCGCGGTGAATATACTCCGCAAACGTGCGTGACATGATGACCCAGGTACCATTGACAAATTGTTTCTAATCGTGTTCTTGGTGGGTGCGGTGTAATGACGAAGTCTTCACTTCAATCGTTCACTGATCATGAATATTGATTGTGGCGAAAGCGATCTCCCTCAGCCAGAGGCACAAATCCTTTTAACGTACCTCTGCAAATCAATATATACCCGGCTCGATACGACCGAAACTCCCAAAGCCCACAAACAGCCTTGGTACTGCCAAAAACCTTGCTCGTTCTCTAGACTACATCTCAGCACGTCGGGAGGCTGAACACCGCCATCAACCATGGACCCCAGGATAGTCATGATGATGCGACAGATGCAGCTGGAAATGCAGATGAGAGCGCAGTTGGAAGAAGCGCAAATGCAGGGCATGCCGCTAAGACAACGCCTGCAAATGGCGGAACAGCTGCGCATGAGAGCGACGATGATGATGGGAGCTCAGCGCGAGCAAATGATGGAGGCGCAACAAGAACAGGTAATCATGGCCGCATATCGCCAACAGATGATGGCAGAGCAGATGCGCATGGCTGGCGGTGGTGCAGGAGGGCCGATGCCACCGGGCGGCATGCCTTTCCCACGTGGCCCAATGTTTTTCCCAGGAGGCATGGGCGGGCCGGGACCCGATCCTCGAAATCATCCGCGAGCTGAATCTCCGGACAATACTTCGGATTCCGACCGGCCTCACGACGCTGGACCTGGTGGAGGGTCGCCAAGATACGCTGGTGTTCGAAATGGACGACCGGGAGTTGTGTATGGAGATTGGGAGGTTGAGGAAGTAGAGGATGAGAAGTAGAGAGGGTTGCGGGCATCGGCAATGCTGTTCGCAAAGGTCTGCGCGTCGCAGTCTAACGTACTTCGCAGGGGCAGATTGGTGTAACATATTGACCCGAGGCTTGAACGTATATGAGATCCTGATGATACCTAGGTAGCTCATACACTCTTCATAAAGTTTTACCGGTGCAATTGTGTACGGCCATACCTGCGCAATCGGCCCCCATGCATATGACAATTGAAAACTTAGAACTGGCGACAGAGCTTGAAAATAGTGCACGAGTCTTTGGTCTTCCGCAGTGCTTCAAGTCGAAATCCATGGTTGCGGTCTCATTAAGCTCTGGGGGTGGGCTTTGCCGCGCCGCGAAGGATCAAAGGCTGTGACGATTACTGATACTTAGGTGCCGCTGTGCCGTGGTAAAGTCGAGGAGTCAGAAGAAAAGCACGAGAGCAGTGCCTGCGACCAGGTCGCGATAGCTCATGTTTCTACCCACTGTTCTTATTCCCATGTGGAAAGTAAATCGCGAAAGATCATTGTGACTGGTGTCGAACGACAGGTGGTACTGGAGGGGAGGATGGAATGCGCAAGGGGTTTGTAATCGTAAGTGGGGCCGCCGCCTTCTCCGCTTCCCAAAGAAGGAACAACCACCGCAAGCGGGCAGAATTGCCGATCTGGTACATCATCCCACAAGCTTACCTATCACCTATGTAGCCGACGCGATTATATAGCATTGAAATGAGGGCGATGCCATACATGACATCTCTGATACATTCTGATATCTAAAATGCATTCCGCGAACGGCCACACCAATGGTCACCAGCCACCAATCGGACCTCGGCTATTCTCCGTCAAGCAACCACCATCACTGGACGAGTTCAAGAAACTTACAACGGAGTCTGTTCCCTGCCACTACCCACTAGCAAGCAAAATCGAAGCGAATGTACCGATATATGATCTGCCCGACTATGCTTCGCTCTCTTCAGAACAGCGTTCAGCATTACAGGATGAGTTTTACCACATCCTACTTTCCGGACCAGGCGTGTTCGTCACCAAAGGTCTCTGCAAAGACATGTCTCTTCTCCAAAACGTAAACAACGTGTATGCAAACATCATTGCAGAAGAGAAGAAAGTGGCCGGCAAACGCGGCGACCACTTTGCTGGAGCCGGCGCGAACGATCGCATCTGGAACTCCGTTTCGAAACACTGCCAAAGAGACCCGGAGTCATTCGTGCAGTACTACGCGAATCCATGGCTGCCTTTGATATCTGGAGCCTGGCTCGGCCCGCATCACCGCCTCACAGCACAAGTCAACATTGTGAAGCCAGGCGCGAAGGCCCAGATTTCGCACAGAGACTACCACATTGGCTTCCAGGATAACGAGTCTTGTGCCAAGTTTCCGAAGGCGATGCAAGTCGCGTCGCAGTTCCTAACGCTGCAAGGAGCTGTCGCACACTCAGATATGCCAGTGGAGAGCGGGCCCACGCGATTGCTGCCGTTCAGCCAGAAGTTTGAAGAAGGATACATGGCATACCGCCTGCCTGAGTTTCAAGACTACTTCCTTGAGAAATATGTATCTGTGCCACTGGAGATGGGGGACGGTCTCTTCTTCAATCCAGCGCTGTTCCATGCCGCAGGTCAGAATGACTCGGCCGATGTCATGCGTTCTGCCAATCTGCTTCAGATCTCATCAGCCTTTGGTAAGCCGATGGAATCTATCGACACGCACGCACTTGTTGAAAAGACCTGGGAGGAATTATTGGTAATGTATGAACAGCATGGCCTAAGCGATGAGCTCAAAGCACTCGTCAGCGTTGTCGCTGAAGGATACCCTTTCCCTACCAATCTTGATAGAAGGGTACCTGAGACGGCTGGCATGGCACCCGAGAGCGAGCAGGATGTTCTGGTGAAGTCGCTCAAGGCCAACTCTAAGAAGCAAACAGTGTTGGACACGTTGACGAGGATGCGAGAGGAGTCGAAGGCTTGATGCTCTATTGTGCGTTCTCGCTGAGTGGTTCACATAGATGCGCGACATCACGTTCCAGCAACAATGTCTAAAATGTCAAATCTATCAAACGCTGCACACTATTCCCTTGTGACACTGTACTTTCCATTCCGCAGACCCTGGCGTTAACGAGCGTCAACGGTCACAGCAAACACCGGGAAGCTGCTTTAGTTTGTCGACACGTCTCGCTCCTCCAACGCCTGCTACTAAACCCAAGACGTAAAAATCATGACCTTCCCCATAGCGACCCTCCTTCATCCCGTCGTATCACAAGCCCTGGCCGACGCCGAGCAAAAAGCGAAAAACGGTATCCTGGAGACTCTACCCGGACACCGAAGCATGGCCTTACGACCCGAAGAGAATACCAGCGGCCCTCTCGTAGTCATCACACCTACGTCTCCTATAGTATCGGAACAACCCGGGCTACATTCACCACCATATCCGTCTACAAGCCCAACAAGCGACGCACACACATCTACTTCCATAGCCCTCACGCCAGACGCCGAATTCCTCCGCATCGAGGCCGAACTGGCAAACTGTCAACTGACGCGCGAAGCGCTACAAAGACGCGAATCCGCACTCAAAGAACGCAAAGCAGAAATCGTACGGGAAACCAAAATGCGGCTTGACAAGGAAGTGCGAGATTTGACGGCACAGGATCAAGAAGAGATCGATCAAGGACTGTTCATGCGCGATGTGCAGCGGAGAGTGGAAACGAAGTTGAAGGGGACAGAAAGAGAAGATGAAGCTTCACCGGAGAAAGTGGACAAAGCAGAGCCAGTGGAAGAGAAGAAAGCCGTACCTATCAGTGCGCCAGAGCGGAGGAGACTTGCGCGTCTTGCACTGTTGAAGCAAGACCCTAGGCTAGGAAGATGACATTGGTATGGATGCTTAGCTACGTCTCCCGCGCCCATGTGCTCACAATACTAGTAATGTCACACTGATATGCTGGTTCTCTCATACACACATCTCCCCTAATACGCCGCTTAATCAAGGGTAAAGTTCTCCGCGATCTCTGGGGAAAGCCTGCCCATCCTCTCCGCTGTGATACTGTCAACCTTGAGGATCGGGTCGAGTTTGTATGTGAGCCACAGTATCTTCATGTTGAGACAGGTCATTGCGCGGGCTTGTACCGAGACTTCGCCTATTTTATGTTAGCAAGAATGAGGGATATAGCGGAAGTGCCTCACGTCGGTGATCTGCAGCAGTGTTCTCGATGATCTTGTTTAGATCCATGATCTCGTCTTGCAGCTTCGTAAGTTGCTGACTGTAGTGATAGTCTGCATCGCGCTGTGCTGTGGTGGGTGCGACTGGGTGCCTTGGAGAGGACATTGTGTGCGGACGGGTGTTTTTGGTTGGACAAATTTGGGAAAAGATTCGAATGTATTGCGCTGACGTTGCAGCGGTCTATCGTGTCGCATCAAAGACTCATATACCACTTCGAAGTCATGCGCTAACACCGACACGAGGGCGGCAGAGGCTAGACACAATGTGAAGCCTGGATGATAGATCACACAAACTCTCTTTTTCCGCTGTACTGAATGACATGCTTGTGGGTGATGTTATGATGTTTGGACGTGCTTCAAGTGTAGCATTGCTGGCCGAGTAGCGTTTGCTCCATACTGGAATGCTCGCGTATTGATCAGTGTGCCGTTCAGCTATGCAAACACCTTCACCCTTCCATATCGCCAAGTACGCATATATCCTCTTGCCATAGTTGTCATCGACAACTCCCATCACTCTACCACACTGCTTGCGCGACAAGGCTTGACATATACCCAGCGCCTAAGCATCACTCACTCCTCACCCTACCCATTCCCAATCTACCACATCAAACCATCACACTCAAGTCACCAAGCATGTCACACAACACCCCCGATAACCTCCTCAAGCTTGCCGCCGACCTGAACAAACTCGGTGGAGAACTCTGCGCCATCGGCGGCAAGCTAGCGACAGCAGCCACAACCCTGGAGCAAGAAGCCGCAAATGTTGCTCTTGCCAATGCGCAACGATGGGGCGTCGATGTACAGGTATGCGTTCGCTAGAAACGGGTTATCACAGTCAGAGTACGGTTGATACTGACAGCATGCGTAGGTCGCTGTGAGAGCTGGTCCGCACGGTCAGTGGGTGGGCCAAGGGAACGAGATCGTGGTTAACGGAGTGAAGAAGTAGTGGTAGTGCTGAGTGAGATATGCGGAGGGAGCCACGGCATGCATGTGGAAGGCGCGGGATTGAACATCAGTCAGGCGCGACGGTGCGCACCGAGCTGTGACGACGTGCGAAAGGAGAAGCGAAGAGCAGTGACAACATTCCTTGTAGATCAGTGTAACATTATTCTCATTCCAAGATTCTCTGTCCCCTTTACAACCATCGTGATGTTGCATAGGAGCGAACGCAGATTGTGGGTAAGACTTCTCCCCGCTTGTCGGTGACATTACCCCTCTTCATATCTTGGGGTTTAGCGCTGCAGAGATTTATCAGATCATCAGATAAGATGCGACACCGGACGCCCGATCAGCCACTCATAGCTCAAGACCAGCTCCGAACCATCTCCAGCCTATATCGCTCATGTAAACTTAATGTTGTACGCGTAGACATATGCGACGCGACTGGCTGCTTTGGAACCAGAAATGGCGGTCTGTCTTCGGAGGACGGATGCCCAGGTTCGGCGGTGGTGTGATTGCGCCCATGCCCGGGGGTTGACGAGCCAAGCTGCGGAGCTGGGCACGGGCGGACGTTCATTCGGTATAATCCTGAAAAACTCATTTACGGAGAGCGGAGATCTGAGGGTCGTCACATGCAGGCAGATATATGAATTGAAAGAGTATCATTTGACCCGTAGTTGGGTTCGTTGAAACGTGTAATCATTAGTCTAATTCCGGGCTGCAGTAGCCATGCGGTATGATACAAAATGCAAGAAAGTGAAGAGTGTGTAACCGTCCACTCGTCGTTATTCATAGCGACCGTCAAAACCCTCAAGTTGTGTTCTCGTTACGGATGAACGAACATGCGAAACAGGATACAGACACTCTCGCATATCAACGCCGCGGATTGCTGGCGGAACCGCTAAAGGTGGGGTATCTGGCAAAGCAAAGACAGGAGGGCGCTATCAGTGGTCGATATTGTAGTGAGAGACTGCGTCCATCATGGCGTGATCCTCGGCCTTGGTCATGGGCGAGAAAGAAGCTCGGCGCCGTTCCTCGGCCTCTTCGATCAGCGGCGCATGTGGGCCGTCAGACGGGCGTGTCCTGAGAGGACGCTGGGCGTGTTGGAGAGTAGTGAGGATGCTGCTGGCGTCCAGCTCCATCGCGCTGTACATGCCGGGTTCCATAGTGAATGTGTCCCTGCGAGTGTCCTGGCGTCCGAAAGCCTGCGGAACAGGCTTTAGTTGGCGCCAGTCCATGGCATTCGGATCCGTCGAAACTCGACCATCAAGCAGCTTGAAGGCATCGCTACAACCGACTGTCCGCCCAGTACCTACAGGCGACGAAATGCCGGCGCTCATGTCTATGCTGGTCGATGCCTTAGGTTCCATAATATCGAGCGAGCTGCTCTTGCTTGAGTTGCGCCGTGAGCTCGAAGGGGTTTCCTCGCTCCGGAGCTGAGCGACTCGCTGACACCAGGCTCGCTGCTGGGGGTTTGACTGACAGTCGGCACAAGAGCCAGGTCCGGTCATGGCCATGTTGGGCTTCGCTTCTTCAGCTGAAGAACCACTCTTCATGCGCGTGAGTGAGATGCCCTCGTCGGCGCTGTCAACACGAGCAGGGGGGTCGCATATGCAAATGTCCTTTTGTCCCTCGCAGAAGCCACAGTCTGTAATCTTGTTGTCCTCCGTCGATGGTGCGAATGTAGATGCGCTCTTGAACTTGTTGGTGAAGTCGACTTCGAACTCGACGTGGGGATGCTTCTCTTGGTCGAGTTCTCCTTGGCCGCCGCGAAGTACTCCAGTCATGGACATGCCGTCCATACGAGCCGAGGCCTCGTCCGGGAGTTGCATATCATTGGTGAGGTCGGCGAGACAGGCGCAATGTTCAGGCGTGCAGCGATCGCATCCTGATTGCGTGCTCTCGAACGGTGCGTCGTGGCGTGCGCTACGGATTTGAACGAAGTTCGGCATGGGATGCATGGGAGCAAAGTCCTCCTCGTAGTTTGGCGTGCAAACGTCTTCGCCTGCTCTCACTTTCTGGTACATATTCCTCCACATAATTTTTTGGGCGTCACTTGTGCGTAGACGCTCTGTCAGTATCTGGATTTCTTGTGCTTGAGCCCGTGCTCGGTCTTCCAGAAGCTGTTTTTCCCGTAGCCATGTGTTGCGGGCATCGTTGAATTCCGTACTGGTCTGGTTGACCTGTTCGAGCAGCATTTGCACATTCTTCTGCTTGCGTTCACGGAAGTTGCGCTGTGAGATGCGGTTCTGGGCCTTGCGCTTGGTCTCGGGCTCCGCGGTGGCAGGCTTGCGGCCGGGCTTGGGTCGGGGCGGGATGGAATGTATCATGCTCGTAGGCCCCCCGCCCGACTGCGAGGGGCCATTGGCGTGCGTGTTGACGGACAACGTGGCGGCGACGTGAGGGCGTGGAGGGGACCTTGGTACGAGTTCTGGGTCGGTGTCAGTTGTTGAAGTGGGCAAGGGTCGATCACGCGGTTGGACAAGTCTGGCAGCCAACAGCCGCGGCGAACTGCTGGTACGCGGGACACGCGGAAAAAGCAATCACGTTACTCACGTCGGATGGAGCTGCGGCGGTCTTGTTCAAATTCGGCAGCGGTACAGAAGGTGCTTCCCGAGGACTCAGCAGGCGATGGCGCAGGACTGCAATCTGAGCCAGGTGTGGCGGCGTTGTTCGACGAGGCCATGTTGCGCGGCGGAGCGTAGGGTGCGTTCGGGATCTGGTTATCAGATGGAGATCCTGAGTTATCAGATCAGCAGGCGTCTTATCCCGAGCAAAGCCGAGTCCGGAGCGGAACGGATCAACTTACCGGCGGCGCTAGGGTCGACATCGTCGGACTTGCTGGGGAAGGGGAACGGGAGATACGCGTGGTACCCGTTTTCCGAAAAAGACTCGTACTCCATGATGGGCAATTATCTTAGAGATGTTAGAAATGTTAGCGAACAAGAATGAAAGAGATAGGCAGTCAGTCTTTATAAGGCATCTGTCTCGCTTAGCATTCGTTACTTCCCTTTTACCACCTGCAGTCACCCAGAGTTAGTCGCTACTATCATGAATTAACGGTCGCACGTGGTTTCCTCCCGAATTAATGCCTCACAAATATGATTGAACTAGGGTAGTCAGTGCAGTCAACCACGGCATGGTCCAGCCCCCACTCCAAGCATTTGAGCATATTTGCCAGGCCTCCCTTTTGCAATCTAGAATAACTGGCATTTGTTTCGGGCTTCACGTCACCCTAGGGAAAACTGAACACCTGGAGCCTACATCGCCTTCAGGTCAGCTACCTTGCATGTATTCATCTTGATGTAGTCTCCAGACATGTTCAAGTTCAGTCTGAGCTATTCAAAAGGTATCACTACAACTTACTCACATCATATGACCACATGGCTATGATCTTAGGCAGCAACACAATTAAATGACGAAAAATCTCATTGGAGACACATCCAGGGAGTACGTCACAGCAGCAAATGCAAAAGATAACCCCCTGTAAATCTGCAAGCATTCAGGCACGGAGAGCCGCACCGAGAGCACGCGAGACGATCGGCACAGTCCTGCTCTGAGAAACTGGAGACGAGTTACTGGCTACAGCTTTCACAGATCCACTTAGCGCTCTACGCCCTGGCGAAAACCATCAAATAACCCTGCAGACCCGTGGTTCTGGAGAGAAAGATCGAGTCACAGGAAATTCAGGGTGCATCGGCCATATGCCCA